TTTACAATTTATATTTATCTTTCAGATTGTGATAAAGGATTATTATTTAAAATCTATAAATATAAATACATCAATTGTACAAACTACACAAAATATTAATACTATTAAAGATTTACATGATACACAAGTAGCATTAGCTCGTTTTGCTGATAATCAATTTGAGCAAATTAGTATATATATGAAATCTCCTCAATTTGAAAATCTAAAAGAATGTGTTGCATATTCTTATAAAGGAATTAATGAACATTCAAGTACTGAAGATAAAGATATTAGAAGTGCAATGATTTTAAATCAAAGACAAAATACAAATGATGTGGCAGAACTAGAACATATACAGAAAGAAAAAAATAATTATTTAATTTTAGCATTAAAGTAAGTTTCATATAATATTAACTCATAATATCTTTTTTTAATATATCAAAAAAAAAATATATTTTTTATTTATTATATTTATTAATATTTAAATATTTTTTAATTAAAATTGATATAATTTTATGTAATATTATTTATTTATTATATATAAAATATAAAAATTATCTTTTCAATTAGGTATTACTTAATCATATTACAACAAAGTGAAAATTATAATTTATTAATATTTAGAGTAATAGCACTTTGGTTAGATAACATACACCAAAAAGAAATTAATAATTTATTGCAAGAAAATTTAAATAAAATACCATCTTTCAAATTTATTCCACTTGTGCCACAATTAGCAGCACATATGAATGATGATTTTAATGAATTTTCTGAAAAAATATATTTTATTATGAAACGTTGTGCTTTAGAGCATCCTCATCATACATTACCAGTATTATTAGCATTAAAAAATTTATATGGTGATTATGATTATACTACATTTAAAAAAGGTAAAATTTTAGAACCAAGAGTTCTTGGAGCTCAAAAATTATTAAAAGAATTAACAAATTCAAATTTAATTCTACAAGAAATGGAAAAATTATCACATGCTTTAGTTATGTTAGCCAATCTTCCAACTACTTCAAATAAATGTAAGTATATTGCACTTTAATGAAAATATTTTATTCTACATACTTATTATACATATAATTATATATATTACATATAAAAGATATATTGACAACAGTTTTAAATATAATAAATATATTTATAATATATTTTTTATTTGTAGCAGGTTGTATAATAAAAATACCAAGAAATCAAGAAATTTTAAAAATTAAAAATTTTGAAAATATATTTGTACCAACATTGACAATTAATGTAAAACCATATAAAAATTATAGTAATATTATTGGTATTACTAAATATATAGAAACATATGAAACTGTTGGAGGTGTGAATACTCCAAAAAAATTAACTTGTATTGGTACAGATGGTATACAAAGATATCAATTAATAAAAGTATATAATCTATAAATATTCTAATATCAAATTAAACTTGATTCTATTAAAAATTAATAATATATACATTTAATATATTTATAAATAACATATGTATTTCTTTCGTATAATATTATATTAATAGAATATTGATAAAATATTAATAAAATATTAGACTTCAATATATTTAAGATTAAATTATTTAAATATATATTTATTTAGGGAAGAGATGATTTACGACAAGATGCTGTAATGCAACAAGTTTTTAATGTAATGAATACATTATTAAAATCTTATAAAGATACCAAACGTAGGAAATTAACAATTAGAACTTATAAGGTAATATCAATACATTCTTTGTATTTTAAACATTTTCTTTATTATCTTTATTATAATTTATTAATTATTAATTAAAATTATTTCTTTAAATAAATATTTTTTCATTTTATTATATTGAACATATTAAGTATTTATTTTATATATTTATTTATGTATATCTAGGTTGTACCATTAACACAAAGGTCAGGAATACTTGAATGGTGTGATAATACAACACCTATAATAAATGTATTAATAGGTTCAAATAATATACCAGGACTGCATAAAAAATACTATCCTAATGACTATACAGCAAATTTTTGTAAAGAAAAATTAGCTGTAAGATTATACTTGAATAATATTTTATTCTAAAATTAATAATATTTAACTTATTGTTATTTTGGTTATTTGTACATATCTTATAATAAATATATACATTTATAATTTAATAATAATTTAATAATTTATTATAAGATAATTTATTTTAAATATATATATATAATATGTTTTATTTATAGGCTGTAGGAAAATCATCAACTGAAGTAAAATTGAAAGTATTTATGGATTGCTGTACTCATATGCATCCAGTGATGCATCATTTTTTTGTTGAAAAATATCCATCACCTGAAACATGGTTTGAACGCAGATTAGCATATACCCGCAGGTAATAATTTCATTATTAATAAAATATTATATATAAATATTATACTACTAAAAAAATAAATTTTATTTATCCATATATTTTTATAGCATAGCAACAACATCAATGGCTGGATATATTTTAGGATTAGGAGATAGACATTTAAATAATATCTTAATTGATCAAGCAACTGCTGAAGTAATTCATATTGATTTTGGTAAATAGAATTGTATAATTTTTGTATAATACAATTCCATAAATATGATGGAATTTTTATATTATATTATTAAATTCATTAGGTATAGCATTTGAACAGGGAAAAGTATTACCAATTCCTGAAACTATTCCATTTCGACTTACACAAAATATTGAAGTAGGAATGGGGGTATCTGGTGTAGAAGGTACAATGAGACATTGTTGTGAGAAAACATTAACAGTATTACGTGATCAAAGACAAATAATTATAACATTACTTCAAGTTCTCTTATATGATCCATTATTTAAATGGAGTATAACACCTGCTAAAGCACATGATATACAAAGTGGAATTTCATCAAGATTAATTGAAAATAATCAATGTAAATATAATTTCTACTTTAATTTTTTTTTTTTTTTTAATAGTTATAGGTTACATGCTGGCGATGCACGAACACGAACAAATTCAAGCAACGTATGTTGGAGAAAGTGTGTTGAATTATAGTTTTTTTTATAATATAATTCGATATAATATTTTATTAATAAAACATCTATATTCATATATTACATCACATATTCATATTTTCTATAATATTGCTTGGATTTGTTCATGTTCGGTCGATAGTACATAGCGAATGCTATTATTGCAACTCAACAAGATTACGCGCTTTATGATTAGCTGTATTTTGTTAATAACTCGTTAACAAAGCTATAATGAAAGTTTTTGCGAAGAAATATGTTGAAATTACCTTAGGAATTTTCATATATTAACAAATGTTCCAATATTTTTGGGACATCTTGTATATACATTAATAGTTTAATATTAATATAAAATTAAAATATTAATATTAATATATTAATATTAAGAAAAAAATATGTTATTAATAGATTCTATAGCAACTAATAAGTCAGCAGAAAAAGCTCTTCTCAGAATAGAACAAAAACTACAAGGTACTGAAGAAGGATTAATGTCAAGTGTGTCTGGTCAAGTTGAAAGACTCATACAACAAGCTCATGATCCTATAAATCTTTGTCGTTTATATTATGGATGGCAACCATATTTATAATATTTTAATAATTTCATAATATTTATAAATGAATACTTTTATTTATTATTTAAATTAGTTATTATTTTGCCAAAATTTATAAGAATTCAACAATATTTATAAAGAATTATGAATATTGTTTTTTAAATTTTTTATTTATTTATAAATTATTTATAAATTATTAATATAAGTTTCATCATTTATAAAAAAAAAATTTTGTAAAAAAAAATGTAAATATTTAGATTATCTAAAATATATCTACAAAGAACTGAAATTTTAACAGTTTTATTTGTTAATTTTAGCATATATATAATTATAATTATAATATAATATATTTGACTAA